AAATAATACAACTTCAAAAAACTCGCCATGCCTCTTATGAAGTACGTCGGACTGTCTACTTTGCAAAAAGGGGTCATTTGGGGGATATCTGTACTATTCTGACATTCTTGGACCTCAAGAAATTAGATTGGCTGTCAGTACTTCAGGATTGATCAATATTCAGATCTATACCATAGTTTGTGAACTCTATAACTTTTCTACAAACTAAATAATACATCCTAATTTGGGTTATTATCACCAAAGACATGTAGCAGAATACATCTCGGCCTAAATTTATGAAGAACAATTATTTATTTGCAAACTTTTATAACAGAAACAAAGAAAAACGTGTTTTTTTTTTCTAAATTTTCGGTCTTTTTCTGATAATTTAGCAAAAAATAAAATCCCCGGCGGTGATTAAATACCACCAAAAGAAAGCTTTAGTTGTGTGAAGAAAATGATAAAATTTTAGTTTGGGTACAATGTTGTATGACCGCGCAATTGTCCTTCAAAATGTGAGAGCGCTGAAACCTGAAAACTGGCCTGGGCAGGAAGGGGTCAAATTGCCCGGTATTGAAATGGTTAATAACTAACTTAACATTCATTTTCTAAAGGCGAATGAAGAGAGGAACAAAGATAAAATTACTATTTTATATTGTGCTTTAGAGCAGAATTAAATTCTCTCAATTCTCTCTTTTTTGCCCAACTGTGGGTATAGGATTGTAACTTTTTTTTTTTCTATGGTTGAACTGCATGGACTTTTGTCTTTTTTTCAGCCAGACTAACTATGTAACTACAGTATTTTTAATAATCCTTATGTTGCTAGCATTAGCAAATAGGAAGGTATATTATATTTTCTTTTTTTTAAACTTTTTTTTTTTATTTCTTCAGTTGCTTCCTGATTTCTGGACTAGGCTAAAATTATGTCATATATCCCAGGAGGGTAGGAGGGGCTTTCTCAGCTAAGCACACCCCCTGTCTGCATGCCTGAGCTAAGGGCAGAAGGATTCCAGGAAGTAAATGCTACATGAATCACCCGCCATTACCCAAGAAATGCTAGGGGGAGTTTTTCAAAGTGATTTCTCAGCAAAAAATAAACATGGAGACACGGATGGATGGGGGAGTTTACTTTAAATATTAAAAACAAATTAAAAAGCAATTTCAGTTTGTGGTGCTCAGATACAGTTTAGCACCACTTTAAAATCAACCTATTATTGGCTTTGTATGGAGTTCAGGTTGTTATACTTAGAGATGTTGATTACATGCACATCGGCATTCAGATCTATATAACGATAAAACGGTGATACCAATAACCTCTTGCCGTCCGCCTGCTGTTTATAAATGGCAGGACGGTGGCAGTCCAGGGGCAGGTTGCCGTTCCTAAACGGCACCCGCCTTTTCTAGCTGTGCGCACTCCCTGGGAGCGCGCACCACCGCTATCCGGTGCCTGCTGTGTCCTCCGGACACAGTGAAACACCGATCGTCGGACGGGACCTCTGTACGAGGTCCCGATCATGTGATCACTGATTGGCCAATCGGTGATCACATGCAAAGTAGTAAGCAATATGTCACTTGTGACATCATTGCTTACTACGTGTGAAATCTGTGAATGATCACAGAGGTCACATGGTACAAGGCTATCCACAACAGCCTTGTACCATGTGACAAGCTGTGACCAATCACAGCTCACTCAGTACTTCTCAATGAGTGCAAGAATGCAGACAGAGAGAAAGAGAAACGATTGCTTTTACATCCTATATGGGTGTAAAAGCAATCAGTGTAAAAAAAAAAAAAAAAAAAAAATCTTCATCACCCCCACACAAGTAGTACAGTGTCACCATGGTGACACTGTACTGCTAGGGTGACAGTACGTAAAAATAAAAAATAAAAATAAAAAAAAATAATATAAACAAATAAAAAAAAAAAATGTAAAAAAAAAAAGTTTAAAAATTATAATTTTTGGTTATAAACTAATTTGGATTTTTTTTTTTCACTAAAAAATAACGGAATAAATTTTGGCCAAGATTTATGATGAAATATTATTTATTTGCAAAATTTTATTAAAAAAAACACTTTTTTTCAAAATTTTTAGACTTTTTCATTTACATAGTAAAAAAAATAAAAATCCCAGCGGTGAATAAATACCACCAAAATAAAGCTTTATCTGTCTCAAAAAAATGGTAAAAAATTCATATGGGTACAGTATTGCATGACCGCGCAATTGTCATTCAAAGTGTGATACCGCTGAAAGTTGAAAATTGCCCTGGACAGGAAGGGGGTAAAAGTGTCCGGACAGGAAGTGGTTAATAACTCTTGGCTGAGACCTTTCTGCAGTGTTGACTGTGTATTCTTGTGTGTGTATATTATATATACAGTATACATGTGTGGCATAAACCTCTGAATATGTATATTCATTTAGTGTATTAGCTGCAGAGACATAGAGAATTACCCGGAGAAGCGGGAAGAAACACACCGGCCTGTGTTCCTGGAGCCAGGAGAGAGTTCAGGTTGGCCGTTTTCCCTGGAAAGCCTGCACTTTATCTGTCATCAGTCCCTTCACTTCTTTCTTTCCACATAAATTATTATAAATGACTCGTAATATCTCATAAAAATCTCTCAATCACACAAGAGGCTTAAAAACTTCCAAATTCCCAGAAAGACATCATGCATGAAAAACTTTGACCAAAAAATGAATTCATAATTGTTGCTGTTGTCCTTTTATATGCCATTATTTTTCTTACTTTTTTTTCTTTAATGGGGTACTATATATACACTATACATATAATGGGGATCAGGGGCGGACTGACAACTCATGGGGCCCGCGGGCAATAGGGGATCATGGGGCCCCTGTGTCCTTGCCCAAACTCAAAAAAGCCTATGAAAAAGGTACCAGGGGCATCTCATGGGGCCCCCTACTGACCCCGGGCCCTCGGGCAGTGCCCAAGTTTCCAAATGGTCAGTCCGCCCCTACATACAGGTGAAGTAAATGACAAGGAAAAGTCCAGAGCTGGTGTCTTCAGGGTGGACTGCAGGTCCCAGCAATCCCCCTACATATGGAAGGCTTCAGGACATAAGTCTCTGGTAGAACGATATAGACCAGCACAGACAGAAGGAACTCTAGCTCTATAAAGTGCATGCCCTGATCCAGTCCCCTGTCCCCAATGGTCAGTCCGCCCCTGATGGGGATACATATATATATACATACACTATATTGCCAAAAGTATTGGTCGGCCTGCCTTTACACACACATGAACTTTAATGGCCCCCAGTCTTAGTCCTTAGGGTTCAATATTGAGTTGGCCCCGCCCTTTGCAGCTATAACAGCTTCAACTCTTCTGGGAAGGCTGTCCACAAGGTTTAGGAGGGTGTCTATGGGAAGGTTTGACCATTCAACCAGAAGCACATTTGTCAGGTCAGGCACTGATGTCGGGGGAGGAGGCCTGGCTCACAGTCTCCGCTCTAATTCATCCCAAAGGTGTTCTGTGGGGTTGAGGTCAGGACAGTCAAGTTTCTCCACCCCAAACTGGCACCTCAATGTCTTTATGGACCTTGCTTTGTGCACTGGTGTGCAGTCATGTTGGAACAGGAAGGAGCCATCCCCAAACTCTTCCCACAAAGTTGGAAGCATGAAATTGTCCAAAATGTCTTGGTATGCTGACTCCTTAAGATTTCCCTTCACTGGAACTAGGGGGCCAAGCCCAACTCCTGAAAAAAACAACCCACCACCATAATCCCCCCTCCACCGAACTTTGCACTTGGCAGTTAGCCAAGTACAAATTTCCTGGAAACCGCCAAACCCTGACATGTCCATCAGATTGTTAGACAGGGAAGCGTGATTGGTCACTCCAGAGAAACACGTCTCCACTGCTCTAGAGTCCAGTGGCTGCGTGCTTTACACCACTGCATCCGACGCTTTGCATTGCACTTGGTGATGTAAGGCTTGGATGCAGCTGCTCGGCCATGGAAACCCATTCCATGAAGCTCTCTACGCAATGTTGTTGTGCTAATCTGAAGGCCACATGAAGTTTGGAGGTCTTCAGCTACTGACTCTGCAGACAGTTGATGACTTCTGCGCACTGTGTGCTTCAACATGCGTTGACCCCGCTCTGTCATTTTACGTGGCCTACCACTTGGTGGCTGAGTTGCTGTTGTTCTCAGTTGCTTCCACTTTGTTATAATCCCACTAACAGTTGAGTGTGGAATATTTAGTAGCCAGGAAACGTCACGGATGGACTTATTGCACAGGTGGCCACCTATCACAGGACCACGCTTGGAGTCACTGAGCTCCTGAGAGCGACTCATTCTTTCACCAATGTTTTTGTAGAAGCAGTCTGCATGCCTAGGTGCTTGATTTTATACATCTGTGGCCATGGAGAGGATTGGAACCTGAATCCTGTGATTTGGAGGGCTGGCCCAATACTTGGCAATATTGTGTACAACAGACCCCCATGCAAAAATAGATCCCAACCAGCGACAATAGATCCCCCCAGCAGCCAGCATCAATCACCCTCCAGCACACCTCAGCACTCCTGGCCATTACATACATTCATTGCTGGAGAACTGCGTTCCCCCACATTCCCGCTGAAAAAAAAGCCATGTGTGTATATATATATATATATACAGTATAAGCAGCTATATACCATAAGCAATGTTTATAACATTCTGGAATTTTCTTGCCTATATTCACTTTTTCCCTCTGCTTCCCCAGTGAATTAAAGCACCTAATTGTGCATAAAATCGCAGCTGTGTGCGGGTGATTGGAACTTCGATCCAACTTGCAGCATAGGCCGGCATTTTTCAGCCTGTTCTTCAGGTAAGGCACCCTTTAGAACTGTGTGCAATCCTGGGGCACACCAATCTGAGGACTCGTTCACACCAGGAGATGCGTTTAACAGCCTCCTGCCCGCCATATAGTAATATGACGGGTGCAAGGCGGTTCTCTCATTCAGGGAGGACGTCATGTGATGTCCTCCCATCCTCACACCGCGCATGCACGGCTCTGGGAGCGCGCAGCGCGCGCGGCGATCGGCAGTGCGCTGTGTCCCTCGGACCCAGCGGATCACCAATCCACAGAAAGAGCCGAAGATGTCGGCTCGGTCATGTGATCAGCTGTGTCCAATCACAGCTGATCACATGTAAACAGGGAAATGCCAGTTATCGGCATTTCTCTCCCCACGAGCTGTCACGCTGACAGAGGAGAGGAGAGCCGGTAATCGGCATTCCTCGGAGGGGACATGTACACAGATCATCAGAGCACTGATGATCAGTGTAGCCCCAGCAGTGCCACCTGTCAGTGTCCATCAGTGCCAGCTCTCAGTGCTCATCCATGCCACCTGCCAGCGCCACATCAGTGCCACATATCAGTGCCCATCTCAGCTGCCTTTCAGTGTCACCTATCAATGCCAGTCCGTGCCACCTATCAGTGCTGCCAATCAGTGCCACCTATCAGTGCTGCCAGTCAGTGCCGCCTATCAGTGCCGCCTATCAGTGCCAGTCAGTGCCGCATATCAGTGTGCATCAGTGCCGCATATCAGTGCCACCTATCAGTGCCAGTCAGTGCCGTCTATCAGTGTGCATCAGTCCCAGTCAGTGCCGTCTATCAGTGCCAGTCAGTGCTGCCTATCAGTGTGCATCAGTGCCACCTATCAGTGCCCGTCAGTGCTGCCTACCAGTGTCGCCTAACAGTACCAGTCAGTGCTGCCTATCAGTGCCAGTCAGTGCCGCCTATAAGTGCCATATATGAGTGCTGCCTTTCAGTGCCCATCAGTGATGCCTGTCAATGCCCATCAGTGCCACCTACCAGTGCCTCCTCATCAGTGCCCATCAGTGTCTATCAGTGCAGCCTATCAGTGTCCATCAGTGCAGCCTCATTAGCGCACATCAGTGAAGCAGAAAAATCACTTATTTACAAAATGTTATAACAAAAACTAAAAAAAAATAATTTTTTTTTTTCAAAATTTTCAGTGGTTTTTGGTTTGTTTAAGAAAAAAATTAAAATCTCCGAGGTAATTAACCTCCTCGGCGGTATGATTCTTTCCGTTTTTTTGTGCTGAAAGCGGTACCATTTTTTTGCATGGAAATATGTAGTTTTTTTATTGTAGGCTGTAATTTTTAGGAATAACTCACTGAAATCTGTCCGAACAAGAGTCTAGTAAACATCCCGGGTAGGATAAAATTTGAAACACGAAATCATAAATTATAATTTAATAAATAATCATAAAAAAATAATAATATAATAATAATAAATTTAATTCAATAATATAATCAAACCAAAAACACTGAAATTTGAAATACAGAGGCAAATTCGCACATCACTGAGCAAAGTCGCAAAATCGTTTTCAGCGTCTGATGATGAATTTCCCCCACGAATCATTATCACTCAATTCTGCAAGTGGTTCTGATTTACTATCGCTGTTCTCTAGCTGTTCTAAAACCGCTTTTGACGTAAAGGGACGCTTTTTGGACGCCATGGACTTTTCTAAGTTTCCAGGCAGAAAGAACAGTAAAAATGCAGGCAGGGCGCCGGACAAAGCACTCGGGACAAAATGTATGTGAAATGCATTGAAATAGCAATGACAGCAAAAATGAAATTTTTTAAAAAATTCAAATTTCCGGCGCCCGTACATCCCGACGTCACAGGGACCGGAACACGGAAGCTGGATGCCGGCATCGGCCGGAGGAGATGGCCGGGGACGCTGCAGGGGACACATCGCGGGAGCGTAGGACAAGGTAAGTGCTGCAGGGACCCCCAGAGAACTCCGCATGGTAAGCCCGAGTGTAGCTCGGGGTTACCGCTCTTGGTATAGAAATTTTACCCCGAGCTACACTCGGGAATACCGCTAAGGGAGGTTAAATACCACCAAAAGAAAGCTCTATCTGTCACAAAAAAATTATCAAAATTTCATATGGGTGCAATGTTGCATGACCGCACAATTGTCATTCAAAGTGCAACAGCACTGAAAGCTGAAAATTTGCCTGGGCAGGAGGGGGGTATAAGTGCCCGGCAGGCTAGTGGTTACGCATTCAGGCCTTTTTCGCGTGTTCCCGCACGTTGCATTTTTTAATGGGGGGGCATTTGCTAAAAGCATGAATGCAACACACTGTGTCCCATGGGTCACCACACTGCACCTGATGTGAACAAGCCCTGAGCCCGGGTTCACATATACACTATGTGGCAGGGGCGGTCTGACCATTCGAGCACTCGGGCACTGCCCGAGGGCCCGGGGTCAGTAGGGGGCCCCATGAAATGCCTCTGGTACCTTTTATAGGCTTTTTTGAGTGTGGGCAAGGACACAGGGGCCCCATGATCCCCTATTGTCCAGGGGCCCCATGAGTTGTCAGTCCGCCCCTGGTATGTGGTGCGGTATATCACATGTGATTCACACAGGAACCGCACCGCATTCCTGTACACATCACATGCGATTCGTGTGCGGTGTGATCGGAGTCATACATTTTGTATGGCTCTAATCGCACCGCACCAAAAAGGTGCAGGACCCTTTTTTGGTCTGAATCACTAGAATGCGATCGATTCTGCACATCGCACCGCGTTTTGCGGATCGCTTTCAGGGTGTTGTTAACGTAACATACACACCCGCAGCGGTTCGCATGAACGGGGTGCGATTCTGATGCGGTGCGGAATTCACACTGAGAACGCATCACTGTGAATTAGGACTAAATGTAGTCTCTGAGGCAGAGTTCAGTGATCTTAGGTTGTATCTCTTTTCCCCAAAATTCTGCCTCCTAGCACAAATCCCCCCTCCCCAAATCCCACTCCTAGCACCCCCCCTCCCTCTTCTAGCCCGAATCACCCCCCCCAACCCCATTCCGAGTGCGAGCCCCCCAAAATTCCTGCTCCTAGCACAAACCCCCCAAATCCCCACTCCTATTATTATTATACAGGATTTATATATTATTATTATTATTATTATACAGGATTTATATTATATAAACTCCATTCCCACCCCACCCCCTCCTAGCACAAATCCCTCCCCAAATCCCCTCCTTCTGCCCGTACTGGAGCAGTGTAAGGAGGAGATAGGGGGCAGTCAGCAAACCCTGCACACTTGGATGTGAGTGTGACCCTCTGTAAACTCCCATGCACAAAGAGCAGAGAGAGTACACACTGCACCTCCTCCCAGCTCCCTCCACCTACGTGCTGCTATGTGTACTATTTCTGGCCGTGTGTGGCGCCTGACATGGCCTTAGCAACCAATAACATCATCAGTTTGGTGGGCACCCCCGCAGCTTTCTGTTTTGCTGGCAATACTACATATCAGCAGGGAGGAGGAGAGAGCCACACACTGCAAAGCAGAAATCTGTAAAAGCCGCCCGCCCGTGTCCTAGCAACTGACGATATCATTGTTTGCTAAGGACATGTCAGGAGCCACATACAGCTTTCTGTTTTGCTGGCAATAGTACATAGCAGCAGGGAGGAGGAGAGAGCCACACACTGCAAAGCAGAAATCTGTAGGAGCTGCCCGCCTGTGTCCTACCACTGATGATGTCATTGTTTGCTAAGAACTTGTCAGGAGGTTGCTAAGGACTTGTCAGGTGCACGCACAGCTTTCTGTTTTGCCGACAATAGTACACATAGCAGCAGGTAGAAGGAGAGAGCTGGGAGGAGGTGCGGGGGGGGTGTGCTCTATCTCTCCCTATTTGTCCTACCAACTGATGTTGTCATTGTTGCTAAGGACTTGTCAGGAGGTTGCTAAGGACTTGTCAGGTGCCACGCACAGCTTTCTGTTTTGCCGACAATAGTACACATAGCAGCAGGTAGAAGGAGAGAGCTGGGAGGAGGTGCGGGGTGTGCTCTATCTCTCCCTATTTGTCCTACCAACTGATGTTGTCATTGGTTGCTAAGGACTTGTCACGAGGTTGCTAAGGACTTGTCAGGTGCCACACACAGCTTTCTGTTTTGCCGGCAATAGTACACATAGCAGCAGGTAGAAGAAGAGAGCTGGGAGGAGGAGCGGGGTGTGCTCTATCTCTCCCTATTTGTCCTACCAACTGATGTTGTCATTGGTTGCTAAGGACTTGTCATGAGGTTGCTAAGGACTTGTCAGGTGCCACACACAGCTTTCTGTTTTGCCAGGCAATAGTACACATAGCAGCAGGTAGAAGAAGAGAGCTGGGAGGAGGTGCGGGGTGTGCTCTATCTCTCCCTATTTGTCCTACCAACTGATGTTGTCATTGGTTGCTAAGGACTTGTCAGGAGTTGCTAAGGACTTGTCATGCGCCACACACAGCTTTCTGTTTTGCCGGCAATAGTACACATAGCAGCAGGTAGAAGGAGAGAGCTGGGAGGAGGTGCGGGGGGGTGTGCTCTATCTCTCCCTATTTGTCCCAACCCTGATGTTGTCATTGGTTGCTAAGGACTTGTCAGGCACACACACAGCTTTGTTTTGCCAGGAATAGTACACATAGTGGCAGGTAGAAGGAGCTGGGAGGAGGTGCGGGGGGTGGCTCTATCTGTCCCTATTTGTCCTACCACTGATGTTGTCATTGGTTGCTAAGGACTTGTCACGAGGTTGCTAAGGACTTGTCAGGTGCCACACACAGCTTTCTGTTTTGCCGGCAATAGTACACATAGCAGCAGGTAGAAGGAGAGAGCTGGGAGGAGGTGCGGGGTGTGCTCTAACTCTCCTCTTTGTGCACAGGAGTTTGCACAGGATCACACTCTGGGCGGGATTTTGCTGCGGCACCCGAGGACTCTGCAGCACCTCAGTTGAAAAACACTGGTTTAGGCCATTGAAGCGGAAGTGAAAGCGGTTACCTGTCAAAACTAGATACCTGCCCCCCCCCCCCAAAAAAATATGTTTACAAAGGGGGAGAGGGGTGGAGCAGGACAAGCGGAACATTCCTTTTTAGGCGAAGTTCCACTTTAAAGGATAAGCGCACCTTTGGGAACGTGTTTCATGTTCCACCTGTTTTTAGGGTACTACAGCTGCTGCCTGGTCCCTCCTCTTGTGACACGCAGTTACCCGTACTGTCAGATTTCAACAACAGTGTGGTCGTGCGAGGCTCCGCCCACAGGGTCACATCATTCATTCACAGAGTTCAGTGAATGAATTAACTACAAGTCCTGACAGCCTTAGCGGCTGTCGGCTTGTAGTTCTCAATGAACTACTACGGTGCTGTGGAATCCTTACATTAGAGTCCTCATAAGAGTCCCCACTTACATCAGAATCACCTTCAAAGTCACCCCTTACATCAGAGTCCCCTCTTACATGAGAGCACCCTCTTACATAGGGGTTCCCCTTTTATCAGAGTCCCCCATTATATAAGAATCCACCATCAGAGTCCCCTCTTACATCATAATTCCCTTTACAGCAGGGTGCTCATAAGAGTCCACGCTTACATCAGAGTCCCCTTCAGATTCACCTCTTATATCAGAGTCCCCTCTTACATGAGAGTACCCTATTACAACAGGGTCCCCCTTATATCAGAGCCC